TATAAATCTTCCTGGTCAAATATCTTAAGTTTTCCGTATTAATAAGACGTTATAACAATCACAGTTATAGCTTCCAAAATTTATAGCACAACAACTATAGTCAAACCAATAACAGATACTCCTCTTGGCACGGTGCATTGGTTATATTTATAGGCGTGTGAAGAGTTACGAAACAATACTGACGCTACACTATCGTTTATGTACACACATATATTGTTGATTCTTACACTCAAGAATCTTCTACAACTTTAGAGAATAGGTGGGAGTTTTGCAATACATATTTATCAGTATCAGTTATATATTAGGTCACCAAGAAATTAATGTCGCTTTTTTATATGAAAAAAACCCGAACAACTTATATTTCAAAACAAAACACTTAGTAAATGAAATAGTCTCTTTTCTTATCAATGATGCTTTTCCATCTTACAATCAGGTTGTTAATGCTCTGATTAGAGAAATCACCTGGCTTTTAAGCAAAAAACATTTCGATATCCTCTTTAACATCTTCCATATTTGCATAAGTTTTCCCATTAAGATGGTGTTGCAGTGGACGTAAAAGGTGGTAATCTGATGGTGCCATATCTGGAGAATATGGTGGGTGGGGGAGAATTTCCCAACCCAACTCCATAATCTTGTGTTGCGTCAAACGTGCCACATGTGGATGTATATTGTCTTGGAGAAGAACACCTTTCCGATTGATGAGTGAAAGGTATTTCTGATGAAGAGCTTGATTTAAACGTTCCAGTTGCTGGCTATAGATCTCTGCATTGACAATTCGTTGTGGATTGAGGAGTTCAAAATGAATTACTCCTTTGATGTCCCATCAAATGCAAAGCATCACTTTCTGCAGATGGAGTCCAGGTTTTGGGGTCGGAAGTGGTTTTTGTCTAGGACTGAGCCATTGTTTTTGCTGTTTAATATTCGCACAGAGAATCCATACAATTCTGTCCAAAAATGGTTCACGCCCATTATGCGCTAGAAAATATGAAGCAATGTTCACATGTTACAAACTATGATCATCAGAGAGTTCGTGAGGCACCCAAACACCTTCTTTAAGGAGTTTTTCCATATTACTTAGATGTTTATGTATTGTTTCATGAGAGACATGTAATTTCAGGGCCATTTCACGAGTGTGTTGCCTTGGATTAGACCCAACAAGTCTTCAGAGCATCAATATCAATTCCAACATGTCAGCCCCTGCCATCACAGTTTTTAAGGCTAAAATCAGCTGTACGAAATTTGCTGAACCATCGTTGACACTTACCAACGTTCAGAACATTTCCATAAACGTCTTTGATATTCTTTGTGGCTACAGAGGAGTTGTTTCCCTTCTTGTTTTCAAACAGAATTATATGCTGAATGTGTGTCTCGTCATGTGCCATCACTTTAAAGGATTAGAGTATATTAAACTTTACACATTGTATATGCTACACCAGTGTTTCTCAACCTTTTTTTTTTTTACTCGTGGCTCCCTTTTGTAGTTTGATTTATCTCTGTGGCCTCACCCTTCGTAGACGCTGTTACTTAGGGAAAAAAGTTACTTTATTTCCACACTGTTGATTTATAATATTTTGTTTATAACATACTATTTACTTATACAAGTAAAAAAATATTCTGTTAATTATTGACATTTTATTCAGTGTGATCCTTGGGCTTGATGAACACTTGAAAATTTTTGAATGTCTGGTTGCAGTGTGGTCAGTGATAAGCAAATATCACCTCTCTTCACAACATCAAGGTAGTTACATATTTTTAATAGCAAATAAGTCACCCGACTAAAACCAGATTCAACCATATAAGATGTGGGAAAAGCGATAAAATACAACTGTGCCTTCTCCCAGAGCTGTGGAAACTTATTAGCTATTTCACTACTTATCCAGAAATAACATTTGTCACGTTTAAATCTAGCTTGGGCTGTTATATCACTCTGCAGACAAACATTTTGATTGTTACTCAATTACTAGTTACATCTGGTAACTTGACATCTGAGCTGTGGGTGATATGGGGACCTTTGATTCATTTTTAAATTTTAAATATTTTATTCAGGCAGTGAAGTTTCGGTGGGCCACTCAGAATTTACTGTGGCCTCCTCATTTTCCGTCATTCACGTGTGGCCCCTTAGAAACAGCGTGGCCCCATGGGGACCATATGGCTAAAGTTGAGAACCATTGTGCTACACTAACGTGACGTTTAGGCAGTTCATTTAACTATTATATATGATGTACTTTTTTGGGGGGGGGGGGGTAATAAAAGTGTTCCAAAACGCAACATTAATTTCTTGATGACCTAATACATTACTAAATATAAAGTTAATTTAAATGAACATCGATATTAAAATTAATTTAAATAAATCCGTCACTTGTGTCATTTGGTTCCCAGGAACCATACTACTATTGCTTTGTGCGCATGGTACCCCACCACTGTTGTGCCTACAAGACAACACAGGCAGTACAGGTTAGCACAGATGGGTCACTATGACAGTCATGCTGAACTCAGGGTGTAAAACACTGTAGGACTGAATCTCTGCATTGGCAATGGCCATCCCTTTCAGTACTGATTCACATACATTACAATCCATCCTTACATAATTGTTCTTGTATGCATCATACTGTCTGTGTCAGTTTACACTGAATGCCAGTGACAACACACTACTAAGGAAAGTCCAAAGCCACACCATCTGCTTCAGTCTCATTTTGTATCAATTTATTTCTTGTTAAAACTTTTGTTATAGCATGTTCAGTCATTCCACTAGTTCAAGTATACATTGTACTGCAGCAGAATCAACTTCTGTGTTTTGCATGAGAGCAGGCTGATAGCATTTGTAAAGAGTACTAACAAGTCTCAGGTAATCCTCTGTAAAAGAAACTTTTAAGTTTGTAAATATCATGTCTAGTGGCTCTTACTGTTTTATATGACCATTTACTACTTCTACCGGCCAACTTACTCTTGTGACAAGCTTTTAAAGACTGGAATCCTCTATAGAATACTGGTTACACACATTGGGAGAAAGAATGGCACCTGGGCTTTAACATTTAGTCTGTGAAGAAGATCAATGTGTTCCTGAATCCTCTATCCATAGCAGCCTTGACATGTGGTTGAATCCAAGAGCAAATTTTTTAAACATAATTTCAGATATGTAATAAGTAAATGCTCATAATTTCACTTATCAGCAAGATATGACTTAATGACCAACATAAATGCACACATCAGCGAGTGCAACCTGCAACTTTATCATGTGATTGTATCCAGGTGTGAATATTTTTAACATCATTTCAGAAAATGCAATGAGTAAAATGCTCATCATTATTTTACCTATCAGCAAGATATGAAACAAGTACCAACACAAATATACCTACTGTTGGTTTGACAAGTGGCACACTACAACACTGCCACTGAAATACACACATGGCCCTTTTTCTTTATATACACATGTTTCATCTAAAACTAGTATCACAACATCATTCTCTTCTGCTAGAGGGTCTTGTGGAAAAGGATGGGGTATTGTAAATATAATATCTTGGCAGCTATGTCCAAATCCAAGATGCAAGAAATAAAATCTTTCACCAAAACAGAGAGAACACCAACATATTACTCTCTTTACAAAAATAGCATTACTCAAACCCAGAAATGGAAACAGAATTATGTTGGATAACCTTATATGGATGTTTAACAAGAACCCTCATAGAGGTTTACATAGGGTATTCTTCAAAGATGAAATCCTGGAAGACAAGTCATCAGAAAACTTGATTAGTCCAGTCAAATTAAAGTGTTCATCATCAATTAGCTTGTGATACTTATCAATGCCTGTTCCATTTGATTAGTCCAGTCAAATTAAAGTGTTCATCATCAATTAGCTTGTGATACTTATCAATGCCTGTTCCATTTGATTAGTCCAGTCAAATTAAAGTGTTCATCCATCAATTAGCTTGTGATACTTATCAATGCCTGTTCCATTTGATTAGTCCAGTCAAATTAAAGTGTTCATCATCAATTAGCTTGTGATACTTATCAATGCCTGTTCCATGTGATTTTTCCACTACTGCTGCATTTGTGTTCTCCAAATGATCAACCATGTCCATTTTGTTACAGATGGTGTGGTTTTTCATCTATATCCACAAATATATATATATATCCCTTTAATTCACAAACCCTCAGACACACAACATCAAATGATATTATTACATTACATTCATCAACAGTAGAAGCTCGGCTACCACATAATATTAGTTTGTGGCAGTATTAGGACAAACAATGGTTGCTGTATAATTTTGTGCATGGGGTATTCCACATGCCAAATTTTATACTCCATTTCCTAACAAAACTGTATTGTGTTCCCTGTTAAATAAAATCAAAATCCTGAAAATTATGGGGCATGTGGATTTTTCTATCATTTCATGAGAATTGTTTATTAAAAATATCCACATTTCTGTTTTAGCATAAACAACAGTGTTTATAACAAAATAACCAACGCCATCATTTTAAACGCTACCATATTAAGTTACCTATCATACCTCATAATGATAAACAACATACTGAATATGTTCTACTAATGTAAAATACATGTTTCAAAGTAGTACAAGTATTATGCTATACTATTTCTTACATCATTATTTCTAATTTACTTTACATAATAAAGTTGTTTTAAAATTCAACAACCTCATTTTTGCAAATATACCTAATGGTAGTTCAATATAAAATATTTCTTACCCATCATTTGTAGGCAGAATTCCCATTTTATAGAGCTTTGCACTATTGGTATTAGAAAAATTACTGCAACTGAGTATTTTATTAAGCACTTCACTTATCACAGTTAATTGAATAGCATACAGCTTCCAAAATAAGTCAGTAAGATTGAACTATGTAATAATAGAATTATCTGTCTTGTGTTTAGAAATTCTCATTCCTTCGGTTCTTATAATTGGGCTTGTTCTGGGTAACAGCATCATCATCATCATCATCGTTCGATTAAGGAGGTAAGTTTTTCATACTGTATTGTACCAAGTACTGAAAAACATCATTATCATCATCGTTCGATTAAGGAGGTAAGTTTTTCATACTGTATTGTACCAAGTACTGGAAAACATCATCATCATCATCGTTTGATTAAGGAGGTAAGTTTTTCATACTGTATTGTACCAAGTACTGGAAAACATCACGATCATCATCATTCATTTGAAGAGGTGTTTTTTTTGCAGGATATCTTATATTTAAACATATTTTTATACTTGGAAACAATTTCATTATTTTCATCATCAATTGCTTAAAGAAGCAGTTTTTTCATATATTGAAATAATGCATCACCATATTTCACTTAAAAGATAAGTTTCTCATAGATTATAGATTCATTAATTACAGTTTCTCAGTGTACTTCGTAGAAGCATTATTCACCTCAATATAAATTTTTGTTTAATATTCTGTTCTTTTTAATAATTTCTTTATATACTGAAAAATATATAATCTATTTAAGGAGCCAATTATTACACAGAATATCATATTGGTCAATATCACTCCTGGAAAAAAAAAAGCATCATTTGTTGCTGATGGTAGCTTTTTGATTGGATAATATACTATTCAATATAGTTTCTTCAATGAAGTAGGCTATCTACACTGGTTATATGAAGTAGTCACTTTATTTACGAGAAATAGTGGATTCTACTTCGATCTTGTGGGGATATTTATATACAGGATTTCCCCATCTAACTGCATTATTAGTATATAGGGAATATAAAGTTCTTCAGTCACTTTAATCTTTTTTGTTGGAATGACCTAGAAACTTCAATGCTAGTATTCCTCCTTTTTGTGATATGTTTGTTAAGTGTTAACATTCCTTTGTGCAGAAAGAACAAGAAATATGAAAATGAAGAAGATCGAGTGCTGCAACCCAGAACTTCCACATCTCCTTCGGAGGTCTGACAGTTTTGAAATGTTTATTTATAAGAGTTCAAGAGAAAGTTAAAGGTCACGTATACTTAATGTTACAGTGCTGTTTTTCTGAACATTTACAAAATAATAACAACAAACATATATGGCTTATTTAATAAAATAACCACATACACACATCAACTGTTGTTTTTAAGGAATATACAAAACTGTATAATGTTAGGTAAAGAATGTTGTGTTTCAGGAAATAACACACAAGTTTACTGTATTGTGTCTATGTAACAACAACCACACATACATAAAATAAGTGTTAGTTTTTGTTAGTATTTTCTTAATGAAGCAATAACACTAAAAATTACAACACAATGAGTACGTACCATAAATTACAAGGTGGGACTTTTAACACATGCATGATGTGACATTGTGTAAAATAATCTACATTTTTAAATTAAGAATTTTGTTTATTCGGAACTCTGTTGATTTGTACAAATAAAAATGTGTATGTTCATGAATGTTTTTGAGATACTACAGTAATTCTAAAGTGTAATGATATTTATGGCTCATAAAATTGATGTAAGCCAACCTAACCCTATGGACTAGTTAGTCAATTATCTGTGTATTCAAAGCAAAACTTAAACTTGGAGTATTAATCTTAGGCCTAGTTCGCTAGCATTGTCAGTATATTTCTTTTCCTTAGAAGCATGGTAATAGAATAAAAGTATTAAACAAAAATATTGATTTGTTCAGCAAATATAGTAGCCCAACCATTAGTTGTATAGAAGTCATCCAAATATTTCTGTATCCATTACAATGGTTTTCACAATTGTTACAGTAATAGCTTAATGCAACCAAAGTTGGACCAAATCTTGTAATCAAACCAACTTTCCACATATTTCACTTCAGTACCTAAATGAAAATGCTAAAGCTTGTTCAACATTAACAAACAGTTTGCAACTACTTTCACAAGGTGAATGCCATGATACACAGATGTTGCTAAACATCCCAACAATGTAGTTGTATCTTGCTGATATTTTTCATTCTACAGTTTGCACTGACCTTTAATCTATCATTACTAAGACAAATCAGTTGATTCTTTGGTACCAGCTACTTTCAAGCTTTCCACCAAATTGTTATAAGAAGCATTCTAAACAAGAATTACAGTACATTTATTCAAAAATAGATAAAATAATCCTACAGTTTTTCCTGGTAAAAATAATTAAAAAGAAAAGTTCATATGACATATAATTAATGAAGTGGATATGAGAAAAGTCTGTGAGATCACACCAGGAGAGATTGCACTGTTATTACACATACAATAACCATATGTCTGTCCATTCACTCATATCTAAAATATCCATGAAATTTCATACTTTTATAAATTCACTAAGAGTTAGTGAAAAATGGTTTTCTATGGTTTATTTATTTTCTACTGGAACTTTAAGCACAGGTTTAGTTGCATTATTATTTTTAACTTGGCAAAACAATTGATAGAAACATTTAAAGGCAAAGCCTTGATCAAAATAATTTAGGATCAGATTTTAAAATATGTTAAAATATTTCTAATGTATGTGTTTGGGTATTTACCGAGACATTTTAACATCACGTATATTATTTATAAAGGTTTTGTAACATTTGTATAATTATAGTGTTGATAAATTAATTTTTTTATTTTTCTGAACAAACAACACTTTGAAATATATTGGCAATACTTTAACACAGGCACACTAAGCACTTAAACTTGTTATTATGGTTTATTCACTCACATTTATAAATTACAATATTTTATATGAACCAATAGTGCTGCAACAAAACATCATGAAAGATGCCTTATAAAGTTAGATACTTAAATCTTATGTATGTTTCATGTATGTACTGTACAACCAATGTTATATATAGCTGATAACATTTATAGGCAGTGTTCTGCATGGTTGACAAAACAGCTTACAGATACAGCCAGTGTTCTACACAGCTGGCAAAACAGCTTACAAATACAACCAATGTTACATAGCTGATAAAAGTTACAGACAGTGTTCTGCATGGTTTCCAAAACAGCTTACAGATGCAGGCAGTGTTCTACACAACTTACAGAAACAGCCAGTGTTCTATGTAGCTGACAAAAGAGATTGGAGACGTAGCCACTTTTCTATTTAGGAGACAAAATAGGGATGTGACAAAGCTCTGTTTAAATATTAATATATGTGAAATTTATAAATTTAGTTTCTATATTGTTATAATCAAATTCTGTGTTTTTTCGTTGTGTTTGTATTAGGATTTTAGTACTGTTCATTTTCTAACTATGCATTAAGTGATAGCAACATTTATAAAATATGTACTACAAAATATTTCCATTTCTAAAGTAGAATTACATTTCCGTATTATATATGTTTGTCATGTGCCAAACTTAATATTTCAAAAGAGAAACAAAGGAACTGAAGACAATTTTTTCTGTTGAATGAACTTTTGTATGTTTTAATGCTTAGTCAAATAAATGTAACTATACAATTTCAGAATGATTTGTCATTGGTGGTGGTAAATTAAAATGGAATACAAAGTTTCTAGTGGTAGGTACTCAATAAAATTAAATATAAAAAAGAACTCTTATGACAAAAAAACAACTGAAAACCACTTTAACAATATATAAAGTATAACTTAATGAAACAACAACATATACATGTTAAAACACAATCAATTCTACTCCATAAATAAAAATTTGACACATGTTGCTTAAGATTTTCAAATATTGGAATTATAAATTTCTGTAAACTGATTACTTCGTAATATCAATAGGCACAATTTATATATAAATATTATATCTAAGCAGTGAAACATCAAAAAACAATCAAACATACTTTTTGGTTTTGTTTCCTTTTTGATGGAAATTCAAATAACTACAGTAGCTGAATTTATTAATGATAACCGCAGTAATATCTTAGTATTAGCTTGGAAACTTCTTTATTTTATCACATGTAGCTAAAAGGTTCTTTTATATAGTAGCATCTAATTTATCTAGTTGTAGCTGGTTAACTTTATTTTCTTCAAATACAAACAGAAATGAAAACTTTTTCTGCATTCTATTTACATGTAAAAAAATCTGCACAACTCTAACTGAGCATTTTTCAATATTAAGGAAAATTTTATCATGGTAATTCACAGCATTACAAATATTGATATGAGCTAAAATATCAATTTTGAAATAAAACATAATATTTAAATTTTTACTTATATTTAAAAAAGTTAAAATTAAATCATCCATTTTTGCAGGTTCAGAAAAAAATAACTTTGTTAAGGAAAGTAGGGGAGTATAATACTGTGTTTATCTAATCTCTAAAAAGAAAATCCAGCATGTAGTCCCTAAATTAAGAAATATATTTCATATTGATAAAAAACTTATGCATGTTTTAACAGTAAAAATACAAAATTACTAGGCTTTTCTTTTTTCACATATTGAACCTTTCACACATACAACTTGTATTATACATAAAATAGTAAATATGATAATGTGGACTTAAAATTTTAAGTTCATGCTGCTACATGAATAACACATTTTCAAAGCACTTTAATTCAAAGTTCATGAAGTTACAGCTTATCATTTACATAACAATGTATTTGATTTATACTAAATGTGAACATTAACTAAACAAATGAATATTTGTTGAAAATAAGAGGTAATCAAACTCATGTCACTCCTAAACCAGGTTGTAATAACATAAGTAATTTAAAAGAAAATTAGTAAGTCTACGTTCACAAAACAATAAACCCATTAACATGAGTACTTTAAGAAGGTAGACCTTCCAAAAATGTTTGTTATTAGTTTTCTTGTTTTATATTTTCCTAGTGTTATGTATCAAACTATGAAATATCAAAAAGTTAACTCATTTCATACTTCTGACCATTGTATGAATGAAGTTGTGTAATTCTTATTAATGATCTTTTACAACAAATCTCAGTACTATGTTGCTCTCAAATGAAGTAACAGGTAAAACAATGTAGTTAATACAGAACATTTGAAAGAATTCTGTCAAGGTAATTTTTGTCTGAAGGTTCAAAAATGTGATTTCTTCTTAGAATGCAACATATCTTTTTTAAATTAAGACACTTTGGTTGAGTACAGTAAATAATAAATCAGATGTCTAGTATTATTTAGTAGAATTATGCTGAGTTTAACTTCAAAACTTCCCTTTTTTGAGATTTCAGGTTAACTTCAACGTAGGACATTCTCATAATATGATTTTAAATAAATTAATCTTAAAGTTAACTAAATAATAGTAATAACTACAGTATCTTCTGGTTCTATTGTTTATAGCTTTACACATTTTAATAATGAAATTAGGTGAAAAATGTATTTATAATTGATATATCCCTTGGTTATACTGCTTAGAGATTTGAATCAAATAATCATAAGATTAACTAAAATTGAAATTAATCAAACATCACAAAGTTTTAACACTTATGAAATTAAATAAAATTGTGCTCAGGAAATAAGTTGTTATAAACATCTTAATGCTGTTCTGTTTTATTACTTATATGTATTCATCTACATAAAATAAACATGGAAATGAATTTTTAGATATTTAACTATGTTTTCCATACTTTTACTATTTATAGATTTAAATAAATAAAGTCAAGAATAGGTTCAATCAAAGAAAGAACATGTAGTTGTGTTCTTTATTTCTACCACCTATAACTGTAAATAAGGAAATCTCATAAGTAGTTAATTTAATGAAAAAAAAAAAATTGTAAACAGAATCTTCACCTCAGCTTTTAAATACAATAATCAGGCAGTTAACCCTTATCATATTCATTATTTGTGAATTAATGTGGATATAATTTCAATAAAAGCAAATCTAAAATCAAAATTTTTATTTTCCACACTGTAATTACATCACCTGAAGTGGTCTAACTCATGGCTGAATATAGTCTTTACCTGTAGTTAAACTAATCTAAAGCAGATGTGACAAGACTAACATATTTAGGTATTTTCTCTCACTAATAATTTTCTTTTATTGTTCACATGTTAGTATTTAATCCTAACATACTAATTTGAGCAAAGACAATATTTGATAATTCAATATGCATAGTTACTTAACTCCTTATCTAGTTTTTTCTAATTTTAAAAAGAACATTCCTACAAAAATCGTGGGCTCCAATAATAAAATAGATCATGTTTTAATAATGTTAAGTAAAAGCATTTTAAATATATCTTTTGTGACCACCATTTGTTTGGAAATGCACTAACACTAGCTATGTATTTAGAAGTGCCCTATTTCTCAGATTCTTCAAAATAGTTTTTTTATATTTCTTATATTTGCAATAAACCAAGAGTATGTTAGCAGAAGATATACTCTAAACTTACAAGTACTATACTAAACTTGCTATGGTAAACCAGCTCTTGTTCTAACATTACTTTTCCTAAACTTACTGCAGTGGTAAATCAGCTCCTTCTATAACATTATAGCAGACAAAACAGCTATTCTTATAAACTGCGTGTTAAACCAGCTCCTTCTAACCTTATAGCCGACAAAACAGCTATTCTTATAAACTGCAGTGGTAAACCAGCTCCTTTGAACCTTATAGCAGATAAAACAGCTATTCTTATAAACTTACTGTTGTGGTAAATCAGCTCCTTCTATAACATTATAGCAGGCAAAACAGCTATTCTTATAAACTGCATGTTAAACCAGCTCCTTCTAACCTTATAGCAGACAAAACAGCTATTCCTATAAACTGCATGTTAAACCAGCTCCTTCTAACCTTATAGCAGACAAAACAGCTATTCCTATAAACTGCATGTTAAACCAGCTCCTTCTAACCTTATAACAGACAAAACAGCTATTCTTATAAACTGCATGTTAAACCAGCTCCTTCTAACCTTATAGCAGAAAAAAACAATTATTCTTCTAAACTTACTGCAGTTGTAAACCAAATCTTTTCCTAACTTTCAGCCAAAAACAGCTATATACCAGTGTTTCTTATAAAACTGCTACAGTAGTAAACAATTTTGGTTTTAAGCCTTAAGTAGAGCTAAGCTAGCTCTTGTTTTAAACCTACTAAAGTAACAAACCAGTTTTGTTTAACGTTCTGAATAATAAAGCAGTAAACAAACTCTTGTTCTAAACTTACAGCAATGGTGAATCAGTTCTTGTTTAAATCGAACCATAGTAATAAACCAGTTATTATTCTACACAGTAATGGTAAACTAGTTCTTGCTCTACAGCAAGAGCAATAACAAACCAACTCTTGATCTATATCGTCAGCAGTGTTAAAACCAACTCTTGATCTATATCGACAGCAGTGATAAACCAACTCTTGATCTATATCGACAGCAGTGATAAACCAACTCTTGATCTATATCGACAGCAGTGATAAACCAATTCTTGTTCTAAATCACCAGATACACCAGCTTAATTAATAAAGCTACTGCAGTAGTATAACTTAATGCAATTGTAAATCAGCTGTTGTTAAGGTACTAGCTTTTGCACTGACCTTACAACAGGAATCTAGATATGCTGCAGTACGTGCCCCTGTAAGCAAGTTGCCTTACAATGTTATGAATGTTTGCTGTAAAGAATATGACTAAGAATAGCTTCAATATGAGTAATACAATAATTACTTCATACACCAAACTAAAGTGGGTTTTTATTATGTTAGTAGGAGAAAATAATATGAAGGACTAAAGTTTGGTTCTGTTACCTTATGATTCAGTAGGAAACACATAAAAAAATAAAATATGAACTACTGGTATGAAAGGCATATGTAAGTCAACAATATCTCCCTATGTTTCATGTTTTTTGCACTATGAAGATTATCAGTTTACCCACATCCTGACACTTATATTTCTTCTATCTTTTGGACCTGTCACAAATGATACAAATCCTCAGTAATACCACTGACTACACAACAGAATACTTAAACACCACAAATGATACAAACTAAATCCCCAGTAACACCAATGACTACACAACAGAACAGTTAACCATTAAAAATGATACAAACTAAATCCTCAGTAATACCACTGACTGCAACAACACAACAGTACATCAGACATCACAAATGTTAGAAACTAAAACCTCAATAATACCACTGACAACACAATAGAATAGCTTGTCAGAAATCACAAATGATAGAAACTAAAACCTCAATAATACCAGACTACACAACACAATAGTGTGTCAAACATCACAAATGATACAAACTAAAACTTCAGTAATACCACTAACTACACAACAGAATAGCACATCAGACATCACAAGTGATACAAACCAAAACCTCAGTTCCACCACTACCTGAATAGAAAGAAATAAACATTTCATTCATATTTTTATTATATTTCAAACTGGTTTTCTAACATTAGTTTTGATATTGTTTCTTCTTATCTTTCTATTTCTAATTCAGTTTACTTATTAAACTTACAATAAATGTACCAGTCACTTTTTGTTAATTCTAAACAAACCAAAAAAGAAAAACCCTTAAACACATCATTTGTCAACTCTAATATTGTTTATTCAGTGTGATTGACATGCTTAAAGATTTGTGTTTTACCTCTAGGACAAGTTAACTTGCAAATTACAATTGAAGAGCATAACAGTAGACAATCAAAGAGCTGGTTATCTAGTTTTGTTAGAATTAGTGTTGGGTTATATTGGAATATAAAGCAGAATAAAGTGGAAGTATTGCTCAAAAGAAAAGGCAGCAAAATTTTCTAAGAGGATTTATGAAATTTAAAAAAAAGGTTATAGGCTTATATCAATAGCTTCCAATTTCCTTTGCAATGTAAAATGTGTGAAAACTTTAGTTATATTGTCCATGCACTAAAACTACTGTATATTCTGACTTTTCAGGAATTCATTATGATGTAAACAGTTCAAATGTTTTTCAATTTTTAGAAGTGTCATGAACCTAAATACTACATTCAACAGTAACCAGAAAAACTACATTCATACTACTTTCCCTAGTATATTAGGCTAATGACTTAACACCTAACCACAAGTATCCAGAAAGTGATCCAAAGGTAACTAGTTTCCAGTACAGGCTACGACCAAAAGGGGTCACAATGAATGGAACAGCTAGTACCATGAAGAACAGGAATGAACTAATGGTGTAGAATGAAGTAGTAGGTGACTTTTGTCCATGAGCAAAAACATCAACTAAAGGCTGTTGTTCGTTGTTATCATAGTAACTGCTAAGTATTCTGAAAATACAAAAATAAAGCATTGAGAACTTTGAGTGTGTGTGTATCTTTATTACAGAGGCAACATTATAAAAATGTTATCAATGACCATTTTCTACATCAACTAAGTTCACCATAAGAATAAAAATTTACTATATTACCTGTATACATTTCTATACAGTATAAAACTATTGAGTTTTAACCATTCTTCAGTTACTGAAACATTTCTCCATTTCTCTGCATTACCTAAATTTACCATACATATTAAAACTAGCTACATTACCTGTCTTTATTTCAACAGTATAAAACTACTTAATTTCTGTAGTGCATATTTGTGTATAAAAGATATTTTAATACTAGTAATAAACGACCTTACAACAACAAACCTTTTGCAATGGGCTCGGTATAATATACACGAGTTTACACGTTTGCATACATTGAGTATTTATACTATAACTTTAAATTCAGTTTGATCATCTTTACAAAATTTGATATGCCTTTAATAAACATTACAAGTCTTTTGTACAAAAAATAAAATTTTTTTAATGGAGTATTTTTATTAAAGATTTGTTTGTGAATATATCAAGTCTGTTTCATTACTAGTCTGAGTAGAAGTGATTTTTATTTTAAAAATACTATTCTTCATCCCAAAAGTCTCATTTCTTTTGTGTAATCTTTAAAACTTCCTAAATACATTTCAAACCTTTGTTTTCAATAAAACTATATCTTACCATTTATTTAATGATATACTTGAGTTTTCAGCCTGTAGACAAATCATGAAAGTATAATGAAAAGACAAGTTGTAAAATTAGAAATAAAAGGAGCAGCTGTGCCTTTGTTCGTTATTATTGGTCACAAAATTTCAAAGTATTTCTCTTACAAGTTTGAACTGCTTAACATTTTACATTTATTTGCAGTGTTTATTTTACTGTCAATGACTAAAGTAGAACCCTGCTGAAAATAAACCAATAACTCGCCACTTGTGTCAGTAGACTGTTTACGTGACACCGTTATAATACGATACTCCTGAAAGCAACAAAGCACACACGAAAAGATAGTTGACTCGACCCCTGCTCTGAGAACAGGATGACTAATGTATCGGATCATACAGGTTACAATATCTTCTTGGAAAATTCAGAGTAATCACGCTGCACTTAGTATAAGTTTATGCCAACAACAGGATGTGTAATTTATCTGCTTATGTATGTATCCTACAGTGTTCACAACAAGACTTTGAGTGAGTAAAAACACTACACTTTGAACCTGACAAAATATTTATTTTATGGCTTGGTGCTGATACAATAAACATTGCAATTCTTTGAATATTAGTAATCCTTTTGGGCTGTTTGGAATTTAGCTGCATAGGTGTACAAAAAATGTTATTTGAGCAGATACTTATAAAATCCTATTTCCCATTTCAGCACTTATTCGCCAACCAATAAAAACTCTAGTTTTGGTACTACTTATTACACTCATTTAGTTTCGCAAGCCTTATAAATCTAGTCTTCCTTGGAAAACATTCCTACTTTTGCAGCTAGTGTAATTTAGAAGTTCCCTTACAGTTGTGAAAACACCTTGAGTTGTTACTAGCTCTTACCTTGAAGTAAGTAATAATCATTTAAAACATATATATATATATATATATACAGAATCATATACAAAGTACAAATCTAACTGTATTACCAATACTTTGGAAACTACACCAATATTTCGGCTACCATACATATATATTTACTCATAAATGCTTGACATGACATCACACGTCCTACTATATATTGCATTGCGCAGGCTAAAGGTCACCCTTTGTTCTCCTGAAGAAGAATAGTCAACTATTCGAAAGCATTCGGGTTTTGGGTCTTATTTTAAGTCTATTACACTTTATATGTGATCCTTTGTGTTAACTCTTATCAAAAATACTCATAAATGCTTAAATTTTAGTTAGTTTTCTTAAAATGTGAAAAATAAATGAAAATTACATAGAAAAAACAATGATTTCTAGTACTTATGAGAAATTATAGTGATAGGAAAATATTTTGCCCTCGTGTGCCTTTAGTACTAAGCCTCGTTTTTTTGTTGTTTTTTTTTGAGTGGATGGTAAAAAAATATAATTTTTGTAGGCTTCAAATATACATTTTAAACTAAAAGATAAATTACATAACTCTACTAGTACACCCAAAACATCTGTAACTTGCTTGGGTTTATAAATATAGTATATATGTGTTAAACAATTTTTTTATCCCCTTTCAGAGCAACAACTCAGTCATTACTGTTCAACAGTCTTGGCAAAATTATAATATTCTCTTCCAAGCTCTTTAAACAACTGTCAGAATCAGGTAAAGCACAACTTGTCCTTTCTATTGGTTATAAATAGACCCTTAAGAAAAGTAGGTGGAACTAAGCAATAGGTTTGGAAAGAATGGAGTAGGAGGAGGCACAACTCTAGTTCATTTGCTAGATACACTGATTTCTCAGCAAATCAAAGTGGTGGGAAGTTCTAAGTTTATATTCTAGCTTGCCAGTATATAAAATTCATGTTTCTAATTCATTAACCACTTGTAGATGTATATAGTAGGCATAAAATAATATAAACTGAGCAAAAAGACATGAGGAGGTACTATGTGACACACACAAATCAATATTTACTTTTATTTATATTTTCTTTTGAATTAAGAAATTAAAACAGACATGATATTAAAATTTGAAATATAAGCAACATCTTTATGCCAATTTTATTGATATATAGTTACTTAATAAATTGCTAAAACACTGTCACATGCACAGTTAGACCCCAACCCATTGCAAAAGGGTTAATAGGACACTCAACATTTTGCTACAGCTTTTTCAGGAGCATTACAGTTACAGTTTGTGTCTTATTGAAATGCTCCTAAAGAAGTTGTAAAACAAAATATTGAATGTCAAATTAAAGAAAAATAACAAATTTGGTGTTATAAGATTGTTTGTTACTAGGATTAAAGCATAAAACAATTACTGATTGAAACATTTCACCATTTCTTTACATCATATAAGTTCACCTGCAATTTCATAAACATCAAAATTAGCTATTTACCTATCTTTATTTCGGTACAGTGTAAACAACCATTGTTTTAACTCTTCTTCAGTTGTTGGAACATTTTTAATATCTATTCTTGACACATGGATGTGCACCTGAGGACAGACACCTACAGCAAATTCTGTAATGAGAGAAAACATTACTACAACAGTTTGCTTCATAAAAGTTAACTTTTTCTTACCCTGAAAATGTATTGCCAAAAGGTACTTACCTCCACTGACACAAAGCTATCTCAGTCTTCTTTCTGCCCACTAAGCATTGGTAAAAACTTTTAACACTATGCACAGCAGTCTTTTTTTTTCCCCCACCGATTTTGCACCACTTTTGAACATATATATAGCATGTGACCTCCCTCCACCAATAGTATTGTTCCACCTATATTGGTGTAGCTAGCTCCCTCTTATTTCCCACTTAATCCTTACTTTTGGGAAATTGCAGGATCTAAAATGAATAATGTGTATTGAATCACCAGGGGAGGGAGAAAAACATCCACCTGATAGTGTAGATAATGAGCAACAAAAGAATATGGAGTAGTACACATTCCACCCTGAACGATTTCTTAAAATGAATGGCAAAAACGAGCAGCCAAAGACATGGTGATATGACAAAGTTGATGAGAGGAAACATTGAGGAGATGGTGACCTTCCATGGCTAAGTCCAAATACACCAGCCTAAGAAGTTGACGAATACAACAAGTTAGTGTGACAGGGGATAGATCACAGGAAACAGAAGGGTTTGGGGGAATAAAAGGTCAGGAACATGAATCCCAAAAGGAGGCAGTACATATCAGTGTACTTCCCTGAAAACCTACAAAATTTCATATGGGTTAAAAGAAAACCCAAAATGTGTAATTTGGAGTGAAGACAAATGAAGGTTGAGCAATTAATAGAATATTTTCTAAGAAATTAAAACTTATATAATAATAAAATTTGAATTATCAACATGTTTTAATGCCAAGTTTACCAATATGCAATCATAATAAAGCTGTTTAATGAAATTTTGAATGTAACTGTAAAAACAAAAGATACTAACATGCACACTTTGGCATCTGCAATCTATGTATTAAAGTGTGTAAAATAAGTGTAGCAAAAAGAAAATATAAATCAGTTTTATATTATTTGTTATACACTAAATTTGATTTAATATCTAGATTTCACACACTCATACCACTTAAACAATCTGATGATTGTAAATAAAAACATGGGAAAGCAATATCTCACCAAACATTGATGGTGCAGGCTTCCTCTTTCCACTTTTCTTATCTTTGGTGTTGGAGTAGACAACTGTCACATCATAAAGTGCATCAAAACTGTTCCTTAGTTGTTCCAGAGCCAAATGAAGACCACGTATCTTGGGGGTCAAGAGATGGTTGAAAGGCTGTATTCCTTAAAAATAAAAAACAATAATAATTAAATCATGCTGTATATCAAAGCTGTTCTGGAGCCACGTGACCAAATACTGTTCTTCGGGGTCAAGAGATGCCTTAAAAGGCTGTATAACTTAGACTAACAACAGTTATTAAAACATACTGTGAATCAAAGTTGTTATGAAGCTAAATAATGAACATTGTTTTTGGGAGTAAAGAGATGCCTCAAAAGACCATATACCATCAACATTTTCCTTACCTGAAGACTTATTTCTGATAGATACTTACCTCTACACACAGTAGCTACATCTTACACACCTGCTGTTGAGATTTTGCACATACCACCAACCTTGAACTATCTCCCACCTCAATAACATGTTTTGACATGAACTGCACTAGTACATAATGTAATTATCATGCAGAAATAGCCCTCCACCAAAGTTTACATATCTATCTATAACCTTAAGAGTAAGCTATCTGTTGACATATTTCACATAGGAACTTTCCATCTTTGTTACTTACGAGTGTCCAAAAAAGGGAATTTTGTGATTTTGTTCATGTTCTACAGTAAGCCTTATACTGTTATCTCTACTGTTTATGTACGCTAAAAACTGGAGGGTTTGATCAGAATTACTAAAAATAGTTAAGGTATCATCTACATACCTGTGGTAATAGAAATGTTTGAACTGTTGAGGACAATTTTCCAGTCATCTTTTTTCATGATTACATAGGAACAAATTTGCTAAGGAAGGTCCAAGTGTTGAACCCATAGCAACTCCATTGATCTGATCATAAAACCTACCATTCAATAAAAAGTGTAATCTTTGATGGCAAAATGCACCAGTTTCTAGAAAAGCGATTTTAGTATAGACACAACACTGAAGTTGTTTTTAAACACTAATTCCACACTCAGGTGTACTGTCTCTTCCAGTGGTATATTGGTGTACAAAAACTCAGTGTCAAAACTCGCAATGTCAAAATTTGAGTTGTTGGATTTCTTGGGAAAATTCAAAACTGTCTTTCAAGGTGCATTCATTTATAGTATATGTTTTTAAATTCCACCATAAAATCAGCCAAGACATGATTATAAGTTCCAATGTTAGACACAAGAGGTCTTAACCCTTTCGAGATGGGCCACAGATGAAAGATCATGTCATCTCTTTTGTTGACTCGCATTCAAAATGTTATTGAACTACTATTTCATGAATTTATGTCAATAAGTTTGGTATCAAACTGATAATTATAGTTCAAATTTTAGAACTATATATTACTCCATTTGTTAGTTTAAAAGTAAATATAAAAAAACAACACAGATAAACATTGATTTTTGTGTGTCACATGGTATGTTGAGTGCAGCACTGGTTCAAATTAGATGTTTGTAAAGTCAAGGAAGCTGAAAACACGCTGACATGTGTGCCATCTAACCATCAATGCAAATCGTCGACAAGGGTAGAAGGAAGAGAAATAGGGACCTCCAAGAGATACTGCACAAGGTTCCACTAGTCATGCAAAGCCCATTAAGAGATCTCATGTGCACTCAGTCCAAGGTGATAAGGGCTTCCATAGAAAACCACATCCCCAAAAGTAATAGAAACTTTCGTGCAGTAATAGAGGAGCAGTAAGGGTGTTGAGAATTGAGAGGGGAGAAGGTTGGGCCTGACTGATATGAGCGCTGAAAAAAACCCCAATTGGACAAGATATTGGGAAGGTATAAGGAATGACTTCTTCAACCTGATTAATCAACCCACATGACCTGCTTCCAAAAGCAACAGATGAGTGGGATGAGTGGACTCCTGTTCGGAAAGAGCTAACAGAAGCCATTTGTCCACATAGAGATGTAAGCGTAACCCCCAAGCATGCATGCATATGTTGGCCAAAAGCCTTGACCACTGTATAAAAGACATATGAGGCCAAAGCAAGCCCAAAGGGCAGCGCCCCAAATTTGATACACTACCCCGCGATGAACAAACCGATGACAGCGCCTCAGACGAGATATTGGAGCATAGGAAGACATGGCCAAATCAGGTGGAGGAAAAAAGGTTGTCCAGTTCCTCGTCATTCCAAATAGGTTCAGCATGTTCATGGAGAAGAAGGTTGACTCCTATAACAATCAATCTCACAGCAGATAAGAGCTAATAATTCTACAGTCGAGTTATTTTGGAATAAAGGATAAATCAGTTCCAAAAAATTTTTTCTAAATGCACAAAGTTAAAAAAAATCACGATTGAAGAGCACAGTGAAAAATGTCTTGACACGAGCACTGCCAAACAAGAAGTGATTGTTTGGTAGAGTCAAATAGAGGGTGTGTCACACTTCTATTGGTGGAGGGTTGTCCCATGATGATTTACATGCAAAACACAGTTGAACCATGTTGATCATAGGGTACGTGGAAGCTCAAGTCTTGTGGCATGTGAAAGTATTTTTACATATAGAGGGCAGCACTGAACAAGAATACCTAGAAGCTAGTGGTGTGTACAAAATCTCCAGCAGTAAGTATGCAAGACAGTTACTGTGTGCAGAGAGGGAAGTTGATCATTTTGAAACTAGAAAAACAATTATTAAACCATATTATGTATCAAAGCTGTTCCATAGCTAGATGAATATCACTGTTCTTGGGAGTCATGAGGTTGCTCAACAGACTGTATACCTAGAACAATAACAATAATGATTACATCATGCTGTTTATCAAAGCTGTTCCAAAGCTACATGGAGAACAAGATTGTTGGGAATCAAGAGATGATTTAAAGCTGTATACCTATAACAACAATAATGGTTAAACTATACTGTGTATCAAAGCTGTTCTGAAGTTACGTGAAGATCACGGTTCTTGGGAATCAAGAGATCACTCAAACATCTATATACCTAGAACAACAACAATAATTATTAAATCATGCTGTGTATCAAAGCTGTTCTAGAACTATACGAGGTCATGATTTTCAGGAGTCAAGAGATTATTGAAAACTACAAGAACAACAATAGTAATGAATACATCATATTGTGTATCTACACTATTCCAGAGCAATGTGAAGACCACTGTTCCTTAATCAATAACACTGACAAAGTGAAATAAGTTAAACTTGCTAAAACAGTGTCAGCGCCTGAACAATAACACTGATAAAAGAAAATGATATATTACCTAGCGTAAAGAAGGACAATAGAACAGGGAAAGTTGAAAAAGCATTAAATCAGTTTCTCTTAATGATCATTAAAAACCAGCATTTTAAAAATACTTTGTACTTGCATAAAGACAATCATATACAATACACCATTTCAATTACTTCAAGTTTCAAACTAATCAAATATTTTAAAAAATAAAATATGTATATCAAAAATTGTAAAACAATAACAAACTTTGTACCTTGGTCTTCAGCAATCTTGTGGCTTCTCTCAAGTAACTGTGGCAAGAAAGGATTAAACCGAGTTCCTTCAGGGAAAATCACAAGCCAGGTCTGAAATGATAAAATCCACATAAATTTCTAAACAAAGAATTTCAAAAATATCATAGTATAAACTGTTATTTTACGATACGTTTCCTCTCTAGAAAACAAAATTTTCCATGAATCATTATATTAAGTTTTTCTCAAACAATAAGTTATATAGTTTTGATCATGTTAAAACCAACTTACACAGTGATCTTATTTCAACATTGGTTTGAAAATAATTGAGTTGATCTCATACATAAAAAATCAGCACGATTTTTGCTCCTTGATATGCTTATGGATAGAAAAAAGGGTACAAAAGTCAGTTTGTGTGTCTCTCCAACATAAAGAACTGTACATACTTTTCCTGGATATACTTATGGAAATAATACTAACAGCAATAACTAATTTATGTTCACAAATGATATGTATGTGATTAATTAGAAGGATTATAAAAAAAATGTAAACTCGAGTAACAATGAAATATTAATTTCCATGTATTTTCCAGAAAACTTTCAATGTTAAAAAAATATAGTATGGGTTGATAATTAATTTAATTATTTTCACAATTTTGTATAGGTGGTTATTTTTAATCATTTAGATCACGATTAATTTATTGATTTGCATAAGATGCATAAAAGCTCCTTAGCAATAGTATCATCTTTACTGAAATAATGTATTCACTCAAACTAATAAAATTTCAATTACACTCTTAATATACTTCATGGAAGTTGAAATACATAATTAAATCTTATTGATAAGTTTTTGCTTATGTAAAACACCATATGTATTTCTAAAGTAAAACTATATATCACACGAGAATTGGGTTTGTTGTTTATCTACTAAATTAACAATGACAATACTTACAGGTATTCTCTTGTGTTTCAAATATTTAAGGTCATTCATCATTTTGGACTGGTTGAAATTGCCCCTTTTTACATATACACATCCATGCTAAAAAAAAGTAATGTTAATAAACATTAAATATATCAGAAAATATGTTATTTCATTACTCAATAATTTCTAAGGCATTCAAGTAATGATTTTATCTTGTATATTATTGACACTTTAATAAAAACTCTACTATCAACAAAACATACAGTTTAGTTTCATAATTAAAATATTTGTGGAACACTAGGTTCTTTTTCTGGGAGATTATGATGAACATATTATATTAGCAAATAATAAAAAACTTTATTCATTTTGGATAGTTTAACGAGCTTCATCCACTTGCAGCAGTCCAGACGTAATGTTCAGAATTGTTAGTGGAAATCTTTCACATGAAAATTTGTGCTAACAGCTTGAAATGTCATCTCCAAACTACAGTAAGTAAATTAATTTTGTTAAATTTTAAAAAACTTGTTAACTACCACACAAAACCTCTTTCTAAAAACTTAATCTTTCATAATATATTATTTTTTATGCACACTGAAATGGAATAACTCTAAACAAGATAAATAAAAAAATTCTTAGAACCATTGGTAATCTTACAAAATTTCACATCAACTTAGAAAAATCTTGATAATTCTTAGGAACTACCATTTGCAAATCTGCAAAAATGTACATCAATACTGTAAATATTACATCAGGTAGAATATCTACTTTAATAAACACATATGATGGATTAAGTTCAAACTTTAACCCACTTGTGAAATATAGCAAATTAATTATCAATGACTGAGTTTATACTACACAGTTATGCCACTTACAAGTTACGTCAACGTTAATTATCAGTGAGAAGGTTAATATTGCAGTTGTATTCCAGTTTTGTGAGCATAAATAGAAGTTTCTTTAGCAGGCACATTTTCACTTTTTTTAGAATATGTATCATTAAATTTCATTCACTGAAGAATCATTACTAGGTTACACTGTATATAAATTCATTTTTAAAGCACATGAATAAAATGATGCAATGTGTTAGCATGTTTTTTCACACGTGTTAATAATTTTCTTTTAGTAGATCCAATGTAGCCTTGCTCACAGCAGGGACAAAGTAAATTTGTAAACAACAGAAGACATTTGTAAAGTTAAAATTTGGTCCTTGAGTTTAAAGAAAAATCTAAGGCAACAAATAGGTCTGAAAACACATCCCATATAGGTCATTCATAAGGTATATCCGCACATACAGCTAAACCGTGTTTTCAAACCAAATTGTCACCTTAGTTTTTCTTTAAATTTGAGGACCAAATTTTAACTTTACAATCATCTTTTGTTCTTCACAAACTTACTAGTCCCTGCTGTCAGTAAGGTTACATTGGTTCTACTAAAAGAAAATGATACAATGCGAGTAAAGTCAATTTGCTTTATTTTGCAGACTTTATAAGATATCATCAACTGTTTAAGCTAAAGAAGAATCTTGACTTGCTTTTTTTCAAGTGTTTTTGGATGAATTTCACATATTTTTGTGTGTTACATCAACCCAAGACACTTACACTGTCATCATTATTGTTTAAGTAGACCCTTAAAGGGAAGCCACTCATACTAAAAAGTAATTTGCAGATCAAGTAGATTACATGGCATTGGACATTGTGTTACCTTTAAGGATGACAACATGTGAGAAAGAGCCGGAAGCAGTTGTGACATTGGATAACACTTATACTGAGCTGAGCTTTGTGTAATGAACTCTGGAAATGAGAGTAACTGAATGAAGGGGAGGAGGGTATTTTTTCTATTTTATTGAACAACCTTTCTCATTCACCACTGATGTGACATGCTTTCTAGAATATATATTTATTTACAACTACAAAGAAGTAGGTACAGAATCAGCTAAGTAGAGATGCAGATTTAATTCATTGCTTCATGCAGCCGATGCTAGGATTTGTATGTACTGTAAAGTTTCAAGAGATAAATTACAGATCCACTGGGTATGGTTGTTAGATGTTCATGTTGCAAGTGCTCAATCCTGCATTTGCTACTATATTTAGCATGCTTATTTTTTGGAGTTGCTTCCCATAGTAACAAATAACAGCAAAATACATGTTATTGTTTGAAACCCATTTCAAAGTAGATTTTATACTTTTGACAATTACACTTTGAAAAAGTGTGCATGCTGAACTTTCCTCTTCACATTTATACCATTAAGGAAAAGTACTTTCAACAATTTTCATTCTTGCTGGAAAAAGAATGAGAGTACTGAAATTTTTCAGAAAACTTCACATGGCCCTAGAATCAAAAGTAAGCAAAGATGGTGAATGAAATTCTGCAGATCTGTTCTAAAGGTGAATGATGGTCAAGGTAAATCAAAACATTTTCAATTTTTAATTCTGAAGAAAAATAAGCAAGCATATTTTACATATAATAAGTAAAGCTATGTAAGAGAAAATATGATAGTAATTTTATTTAATATTTTCTAATAATCCTGAAAGTAAGTTTTACCTCATAAAAGTAAAACCCATAAAGAGGAACAGCCTGCAAAGAGTTTTTCATGATGTAGCGTACATGGCCTAGGCTTCCTTGCCTTTCTGCTAACATATGAACCACAATCCAGTCCACTACAAACAAGACAATACATCCTTTAAATTTTGTTACAAATAATGACCATTTCTATAAATCTCTTAAAAACAACTACAAACCATAACAGTAAACTGACTTTACCCATTACAATGTTAAAAATTATGACTGGATCAGAATTTACAAATTTGAATCAAATTTTAAGCATTTAAAAAAAATTCAAATATGTGTAAAAATATTTCCCCAAATATCTAAACATTGTTAAATTTAACTAAAAGATGAACAAGTTTTAAGTATAGTATACTTCAGAATCTATTTTACTTCACTTGTAAGTTAGACAGTATGTAATTTATGAACATGCTTCGCCAAAACTTATACTCTTTCACTTAATGCATAGCAACATCAGTAATTCCGTCCTACCCACACAAAAAATATTTAACTTATAATAAAAAAAAAAATCTAAAAAATTCCAGAATTACAAGTAAGAGAAAGCAAAACCATTTTAAGCTAGAAACATTATTTTGAGATTTGCTAATCTTTTATGCACTTTTTATACTCTTTTTTTTGTTGTTTACTGATTTTTATTTATCAATTTTAAATTATCAAATCTTCTTTTGGACAACTTGTTTATTGTTTTATTTAACTGACTTAGAAAACTCAGCACTCTAGAATTAGAGAGATCTTTCAGTTCCTTTTCTTGAAAAAATAAAATGGTTTCTGTATAACAGAATAATATACTTAAGGTATTTTAGTGCTGAATTAATATCAGGTTCATGTGTCATTTCAATTACTGTTATAATGCTTTATCAGTTAGTTAAGCTTTCTAAAAATGACAAAAACATAATCGAATGAAGTTTTAAAAAGGAGCTACTGAAAAACAGAAGTTGTACTTTTGAAAACCTGATGATTTATACATCACTACTATATATGTACTTTACATTACAATAATTACATGTACAAAACAAAACATCACAGACACTAACTAAAAACCAGAAATGCATGTTTATTGTTACGTCTAAGGACAAGAACATTTCCAGCAATTTTTTGTATTGCTAGACAAAGAATTGGAGTACTGAAAATTTTAAAAGTTTAATAGATAAATATAAAATTTTTTGTCACATTGGTAAATATTTGGAAACTTTTAAAAAACATGTCAAGAAAGTATGTACAGTATTGTGAATAGTATTAAAATAAGCCACCAGGTGGATATAAAGAAGTATATAATAGTCATTATTACAACTTGCATCCAGAAGTTCATCTTATTTCCATGTTATGATAGTTGATGAGCTAAATGAAGATAAATAAATGAAAATCCCTCTCATGATTTGTTTTTTTTTATGAGCTTGTTTAGAAGCTGTATATTGCATATCCCCCCTAGAGTTTGTTAACATCCTAAACATTATATACACACTTCATGATTGGTATGTGTGAGTTTCTATACAATGTAAACATTACATATCCTTTTTGGAACTTGTTTTTGTGTGGATGTACTTAAAGTCTGAACATTTCACATCCTAAAGAAGGATGTTTGTTGATATGCAAGTTTGTTTACCATCTAAACAAGTGTTTACACTGGGTACTCGCCCAACACTTTATCACCCAGTTCCAAAATCACTACCCAAGTCCATCAAAGCGATAACTATCATCAAACTGCATACATTCTTTTCTTTTCTCAGCATTCCAACTTTCCAAGGTCATCTAAGTTATAACATCGGGAATAGAATGTTGTATATGTTTTGTGAATGTTAAGAAATAAAAAAAAAAATTCACCAAAGCTTTGCTACATGTTTGTTTTGTTTTCCATGTATTATTTTCTCTCTGATATTACCATGAGCCATATCCTCACCAGTGATAGTGTACTGTTTTGTTTTCCATGTATTATTTTCTCTCTGATATTACCATGAGCCATATCCCCACCAGTGATAGTGTACTGCTGTTGTTTACTGGAAACAGTGTACTAAACACATTACGCTACGTAGTTGTCAGCTTGCGTACTGAGGCTTGTAATGTTATGAACAAAGCCTGTATGCAATGCAGCAAACAGCTCCATGGGTAACGTACACTCGACTCTGAACTTGCACCTGTCATCGCGCATTCACAAAGTCCATTGGTTTATATGGTTTGGGTTGTACTGCAACCTGTACCATAATGGATTGTTCTACCTAATTACATAAACTGTGTATCAGTGACAGAAATTGTAAGCATGTGATTGGCCAAGCAATAACATTAGACTATGACGCTCATTTGAAGGTTGCTGTAAGATATCCAGCTCTAAAGTGAGGGAGGGACCATAGGCATTGCAACTAATGGCAAAGTAGTAAGATGGTTTATGTCATGGTAAGAAACCTTTTAAAGAAAAGTAAGTCGACAACTACAATACAGTGATGCTTTTGTCCATTCATGAAACTATAAAGATCAAGAATAAAAAGTATTTTCAAAATAAGACATTCACCTTTTTCGTTGTTTGAGTGACTGTCTAGAACTACATATTAGCATTAGCATATTATGTTACTGGCATGATTAGGGTTGAACAACAAATTAAACGTAAGAAGAAATTTTCCTGACTGTGACTTCTGTAGGAACAACCTTTCTCATGTTAGATGCAAATCAAAAGCTGTCCAGGACTCTAAGAGTTAAAGAGTTTTCTAATTCTTAAGTTTAATATTATATTTCCATCACTTCAGTGTTCTTTTGAAGCTTTACCAACAAGTCAGAAGTCTAACTTCTTAACATTATTACCATTTAGACTATATCACTCAGTGTGATTTTGAACTATTTTTTATCATTTCATATCAAGTTTACATTTCTTTCTCAATGTTCTCTTTTATCAGAGAATATATGACATCCAAAAAGAAAAGCTATGTGTGGAAATATTTTGAGCCAATTGCTGAAGAAGGCAGAAGCAAGGCAAAACGCTCACTTTGTGGAAGTATCCTAGCCTGTTCCAGTAGTAGCACTTCAACTTTGGGAAAACACATGAACAATAAACACCCAGGAGTAAAGGATGATTGGAATGGACCATTGGGTCTGAAACAAACGAGCATTGGGAATTTTTTCAAACAGAATGAGAGTTTGCCATGCTCTGCCAAATGTGGAGAAAGAAGAAATCCTAGACTTATTGTATGAAATCATTTACCAGTACCTCAGACCATACTGTGGTAAAGAGTAGTTCATTCTGTAAATTTTTGAACTATGTGGAACCAATTTTCCTAGTTCCAAGCTCTGCCACCATTTGGAATCACACTGTGTGTTTGTATGATATGCAATGCAATAAAACCATAAAAGAACTTCAAAACCTTGTGCTCGTTGAATTTCAGCAATGTACGATGCCTACCCAGCAGTTGCTGTCAATGGAATGACAAAGGATTGGGAGATACAAAATCACCCAACAATGCCACACTGCTGAGAACATTGCAAGAGACTTGTATAACATTACCAGTGAATGGGATGTCCCTGATGTTTTTGCTTTTGTGCATGATAGCACCACAAATTTGGTATCTGCTGTCTCAAGATTGGATGCATACAGCATGGCATGTTTTGCTCACACTATTCATCTGCCAATCAAAGCAGGTCTCACAATGTGACAAGTTTTGAGTATGCTTGCTAATGCTCATTCCCTTGCAGGTTTTTTACACAAGTCTAACACTGCTTGGGTGTCCATGCAAGAGAAGCAGAAAGAACAGGACCCATTAAGTTGTTTGAGACCTATTCAAGAAGTAGCAATCAGGTGGAACTCTTCATTCCAAATGATACAGAGACTCCTCTTATAGAAGGATGCAATAGCACAAGTTGCCCATGATCCTACAATGAATCTGATATGTCATTTCAGGATTTGTTTGTGTACCAGTTTATTTACAAGATGAACTGTACAGAAGAAGTAGTATATAATCACTTGATGAACTGAACAAGATGTATTTTCCCACAGAGCACTTCTAACTTTTCTTAATACAAGTAAGGTTACTACACACACTATGGCTACTGAATCTGTATCAAACACAAAGTTTAAGTCAATCATACAAATGTGGGTGAAATGCATAGCAAAGAAGAAAAACTAAGTCCTAGTAGCAGTCATGTCTCAATGTTTTATTATTAGCTATAGTAATAATAACTTGGCAAACACTGCATAATGAAGTGATATATATTTTTGGAGGAATATACTACATGTTTCAACAGAACATTTGTTTGTCTTCTTCAAGTAAATAAATCACTTCATTATGCTTATAAATTGTTGTTTGTCAATTTATTATTATATTAGTGTAATGTGCTTCTATACTCGAGTATTAGCCATGGTAATCTGAATTGATACAAATCTTATACTGCATATATAAAAAATCATTTTAGAAGTGTTAGTATTATAGTTTGTACAGGATTTAAATTGTTTTTAGTTAGAAGCAGGAGTTTACCTTTTTGTACAGCAAAATTTAGGAATATTTTTTAAAGAAATACAATAATCTCCAAAGGACTTATGCTTCACTTTGCATAAATTCAACTACCAAAAAGTGGTCAGGAGAGTAAATGGTCAAATATATATTATAAAAGGTAGTATTTGTTATTATATACATAAATATATTGTTAGATCAAAAGAAGATGACACCTCTATTTTAAAAAACTGTTTCAGATATAAGCCACATACAGTGCAAGCTTGTTCGACTGAAATGTAATATATTCTTGTCATAGACTATGGACGTTAAACCTTGCACCTAACTCATGAAACCAACAGATAAAAGAAACACTCTGACCTTGTTCTGTGATATCTTGGATTTAGATTGCCAATGATATGAATAGTTAAAAAGAAATGAAACCATCATATTTTCCAACTTTCCTATTTCTCAATTAATAATATGTAATATTAACATTAGCAACTTATATCAATATTGTCAACAGCTATGAATACTAGATTTGCAAGTTCAAGAAAAATACAATCATTTTACAAGTGCGATAATACAATAAAAATCAATATAAAATAATCTATGAGAAAGGTTTCAAACCAAGTTAAAACATAAAAGTATTTTTAACAATACTTTATGCATATCTAATTATGAATGTCTTCCACACCTTACATGAAGGGTTCTGCAATTTTATACAGAAGACTCAATATGCCATCTTATATACATTTGATTCTATATCTGGAAATTGAAACATATCACATCAACAGTAGAATAAAATACTGATTTTTATTACTAGCCTACAATGTTAACTTTATACTGACATATATGTATGGTGTTAAAAGAATATGGAAAGATGCAGCTTATACTACATTCAGAGATCTTATTTCTATCTAAAATGTAATATATTTTAGACAATACTGTATTTTCTTTAATGTAAAAATAATCTTGATTCAATTTTTATAGGTTGCTTAAAACTGTTATGTGCTTTCCCAACAAGAGAACCTTATGTAGATATCTGTTCTTTTTAACAATGACATTATCATTTTACCCACTTGTACTTTGATGGTTGCCAAGATAAAGCACCCTTTCTTTTCTTCGTAATACCTCGTCCCCATCACCATGAAGAATCACCTATAAAGTGAAACAATGCAATTAAATAGTGGTTTGGTTTGAAGTGAATTTCTGAAATACTAACAGCTTTAGTAACTCTACATGGCATCACTAACATGAACAAACAGCATACTTTTTATAGCAGCAACTTGTTTCTTTTCTTCAAGAGTTTATAAAACTCTGCTGTTGTATAAAGTTGTGATTGTAAAACATTAAAAGAAATGTCACTAACATTTTTAGCAGAATACCTGATTCTTCAGTGTTTTCAAACTACATCCAACATAATTCCTGGTAATGTAATATATCTTCTACCTTACAAATGAAAGTATTACATTAACTGGGCTCAATGAATTTTGCACACAATAAATAAGTCATGCCTTTAAAATGATAACTATATTAACAACTTTAAGGCAAATGTATTAAAACCACAAGAAATATCACACTAATTTATTCATAATAAAAATGTTACCTATGCATACAAACACGAGAAATGAATATAACTATATCCCTATATATATATATAAATAAAATAAGAGCCATAATCCACCAAATTTTCTCCCTTTTAATGGGAATTTATTATTTAGCCTGAAGTCCTCCTGACAACCTATCTTTATTGAATATTATGTTATAAAAAACACATGCAATTGATTAGTTTGTCATTACAGGCCTAGCCTACCGTACTCACTAATATCCATAGTTGATGTCTTGTCATAGAACAGTACTCCAGTAACTTTCCAGTACAGTACCACCAAAAATAACAGTTACAAAATGAAAATCACCAGAAGATATAGGAAAAAGTCTGCCTACTAAATATTATGGAACTTTTCAAACTGTATCTTTAAGTTGCTTCACTACTGTTGATTACATTTGATTGTATTAACTTCCAACTTTTCAAACACTAAACTAATTATGTTTTCTTTTATAATAATACATTTTTCACTTAGTTATTGCATCAACTCTCTTATGAAATTAAAATATTGGATTATTTTACTTAAAATGAATTGTTACAGAAAGCTATCAGCATTATTACATTGGCCAAATTTTCAATATAATGTACAAACATAGAAATATGCTAAAAATTAAACCACTGTACAATGAGTGAAAAAAAAAAATAAATAAAGGGATAAATTAAACATTCATATTTGCATAAAATAATTTTAGAATCCTTTGATTTTGCAAAGTTGAGTCATCATATGAGGACAAGTTTATCTCTCATTCCTTGAAAAGAGATGGGTCAGGACTCAGGAGAGGCCTAATTAAAGCATTCAAAATTAAGGGAATTGCTATGATTCAAAAATTAGTTGTTGTTTTCCTGTTAATTTCCATAGGAAGTATGACAAGAAGACATAAAATTAGGAGTTGGAAAGGCCAAAAAACATCTTCAATTGAGGCTCTTATACTTCTCCAACCAGGTGTAAATCTGTGGAACAAAGTGTCATTTAGAGAAGAAGAAACTATGACTTTCCAGATTAAAAACTTTTTAAAACTGTAATTTTTAGGAACAGATACTTAGGTCCATACTAGTTCATTAAACAAATTGCACAATGATATTTCATTCACAGTTTTTTTATTTTTTTTTGCTACATTGCATGATCTAAGGACAACAAGGGCCTACAGACCCTTAACTAATTCCCCCTCTTAAATGTTGACATTCAAAACTAACAATAGCAACTCATTGTATAATTCAATCATCCACTCAGAAAAATATAATTGTCTTAACTGGAGCCTAGCTTGTCTTTTCCAAATCTTAAATTTGTGACCTCTCATCCTATTATTTTCAGAATACAGCATATATAAATCAGAGGCTTTTATCCTGTCAATTCTCTGGATAATTTCAGTAACTAAAACATTTCTTACTCGTCTTTTTTTCAAGAGGGTTGGATTTAGTGATTTTTGTTTTTTGAGGGAGGATGGGAGTTAGGATATTCTTAATATTAATCCCAATAATAAGCCAAAAGGCTCTTTGATGCTATAATTTTTACACAGTTTACAAGAGTTTATCCTGATAAGTTTGTGTTATGTACAGGTTCCTAGCCAAGATGTCCATAATTTTTTAGGGTTCTAAAATCCTTAATGTTTAGAAACTGAGAGTCACATATAAAATTGGGAGTCATGATGATTTCTTCTAATTCTCCCAATGAAGAAAGGTCTACCTTTTGAAAGTACTCTAGTTATAATTTTTTTGATTATTTTTGTCTTTAATTGAATTTTTGAATCAACATGTCTTTCTAACATCAGGAATAAAGTTCACAATATTGATAAAATTAATAATCATGCAATTTGTATTAAACATAATTAATCTTTCACTCTAAGATCATTTGCTAGATAATACCAAGTATTATTGTAGTAAGTTTAGTTAGTATTAAAAGAGTATGTTTAAATGAATCTTATATTTTTATTTATTTCAATCTGACATACCACTATGGATTAATTATATTATTAATTCATAACATATAGAATTAAACAACCACTAACCATCCTTAAAAATTTTGCTATATAAATTTTTCACCTTAACACTCAACTGAGAAGCTCTTCATTTTCATTAATTATTACATGTTTGTTTGTTTGTTTTGGAATTTCGCGCAAAGCTACACGAGGGCTATCTGCGCTAGCCGTCCCTAATTTAGCAGTGTAAGACTAGAGGGAAGGCAGCTAGTCATCACCACCCACCACCAACTTTTGGGCTACTCTTTTACCAACGAATAGTGGGATTGACCGTCACATTATAACGCCCCCACGGCTGAAAAAGCGAGCATATTTGGTGGGATGCGGATTCGAACCCGCAACCCTCAGATTGTGAGTCGAGCGCCTTATCCACCTGGCCATGCCCGGCTAATTATTACATACTCCAGCTAAACCAACTATAAATCAGAATGGTATTTTGACATTTTTTTATTAGATCAATTCATATCTAACAGTTATAACTTGCTTTCTATAAATAATATGTTATTGTCTTTATGTGTATGTTGTTTGAATACAATAAACTAAACAATGCATATTCAAATTAAATATTATAAAAAAGAATTTTTGTCAACTGATTAGTTTGTCATTACAGGCCTAATCTACTGTTCTCATTAATAATTTTCAAGCATAAATTAAATGTATGTGAATAGGCATGTTGCAGCTTTAACTCAGTACAAGTTTAACATTTTGCATAAATTTGGATTCAATTTCTTAAGTTTAGCTCTACAAAAACCTGTATTATGTATACAGTGTGTTACCTAGTACAAATTACAATACTGAAATTGGGACATTATGCATTAAGTGTAAGTGTAACTGTAGGTGTAACTAAAAAACTTAAGTCTTAACAAGTTAAAAATTCAAACTTCGTCAAGTTCAAAATCAAATCTACTCCACTCTCTATCACCATCAGTAACAATAACATTCAATTATAATTTATATATGAATAAACGTGAACAATTAAATTAAATAAATTACCTCTGTACCCGTGAGGTTTTCAAAGAAGAATAAAACGAGACGCTGATATAAAGAATAACAAAAATCATCCCCTTTTTGATATATATACGTGGGTAGGGCAAGAGAAACCAATCGCCATAGCATCCAAACCATATAATAATGAGGTGCCACTCCAAATAAAACAATTGTAGGTACAACCATACGCAAATTCTTCACACCAGAACAAACTACGCTGCCCATTTTGACTCTTCTTTCATAAGTTTTATCTTGGTCGAAAAACAGCAACCGTTAACAGCAATAACCATACAATATAAAGCCAATTAAAAGCCGAGTCCAGAGACTCTCAAAAACGATAAACAAGATAGCAGCGTCGTCTTCAGGCGAAGGTATAAATTTTGTCGTCTTCTATTTTCATTCGATTTTTAAAAAGGTAAAAATACACGATTAAATTAATGAGTTTAAATCCTCTCTCTGAAGATCATTGTACTGTTGAAAAAATAATATATATAAAACTCCACAATGATTTCTTCTGTTACTATTTTATTATTATTAAATCCTAATCAAAAGCCAAATAAAAGATTCAAATTTTAAAAACAAAAGTAATTTATGAGTTAAATACCGACGGCTAAAACTAGGAACGCTTGTTTGTGTAAAGCAACATTCTTACACCTGCTATATCCATCACGTGGAATAGAACTCTGGATTACAGCGTTTTAAATCCGTAGATTTAACATTGTCTCACTGGGGGACAGTTGAAGACGTAGACAAAATTTATTTCAGACAAGTTATGACGAAGTTACTTAGGGACTCAACATCGTCAGGCAACAATCATCAATAAATCAGGACAAGCACCATGAGGGGGTTTTGCACGTTCAATTTATATCCCGTAACCTCCATTTTCAGATTCTCAATTAACATGAAAAATCTACGACAAATACAAATTCAAAACTAAACTAAATACAATTAAAGCTAAACATAATAATAGTATGTAGCTCAGACTAAAGATTTTTAATGCTTTACTAATAATAATAACAATAATATTAAAAAACAACAGTGAAACTACATTGTGTGAAAGTTTCATAATAATGCGCTCTCGCAAAATTTATTGATTAATTTAAACTGCCCCCCCCCCCAGTGGCACAGCGGCATATCTGCTGACTTACAACGCAAGAAATTGGGTTTCGATACCCGTGGTGGGCAGAGCACACATAACCCACTGTGTAGCTTTGTGCTTAACTTCAAACGAGTTAATGTACAGTAACATGTAATTGTAGTGAACAAGAGTTAAATAATTACGATTACCTTTTCCAGGATCTGCTCCCTCTAAATAAATAAGTTCTGTCAATAGCTACATGCTGCCGCAGGTACTGCAATTAGCACATACTTATAAAAAATGTCAGAATCAGTAAATTTTAAAAACAACTAGTAAGATCAGAACTAGGCCATTAATTAGCAAACTAGTACAAAAGTACTCGCGCTCTGCTGCATGGTTCAGAGCCCCCAATCCCCCTCATGGTTTACGGAAGTTCCATTGTACTGATCAACTCCTACATTATCCTAAATTACTTCTATAGCTACACAAGGGGAGTTCGTAGGCGAATAAAAAATGTTGGAACACCACCCGTGGTACTTAAGCATGTGTGGCAAGTTTGGTCCCGCTACTTTGTGAGTAAAGATATAAACACAGTTTCAAAAATGGCACTCTATGATCCCAAAGAAGACAATGAACACAAAATCCAATGGCAGCTTCAGCTGAACAACCCTGCAAACCTATTTTCGACCCCCATTATACCTAAGTGACCTTCAGAGCGTGTTTTTAACTCTATTTGGTACTCAGATAAATAAGACTACAGGGGGCTACGCCATACAGATACGGACGCCCCCAGACTACTCAGATTCCGCTTGCTAAGTTTGACTATGCTAGCTCCTAAACTGTGGAGAGGGTTAGTGGAAAAATAAATTCACAAAAACACAATGTGAATCCATATACGATTGAGAGATAGTTCTATTGTCAAGAACAGCTAATAAAATCTGAACAACTCCAAAAACAAATTGAGAGTAACTCCTAAATGGTAATTGATATGTGTTTATATTTCGAAAGGAAAAGGTCTCCCTTAGTAAGTCAGCAGTAAGTCCCTAGACTTATAAGCGCTAAAATACAGGACCCAATTCCCCGCCGTGAACAGAGTGCAAGATAACCCATTGTTGGTTCTGATTAAAAATCATAAACACATACCAAGATTTATTTATGTTTTGCTTCATCTTATGTATTATTTGATGAATCTCGTATTATTGTTTTCCACAGTATATAACATAAGATAAGCAACTGTCGCAGTTGAAAGAACTGCTAATTTCATTTAACCATAATTATTAAGGAACTTATCTAAACATATTCAGACAATTTTTATAAATTTACGCACAGGTGTTCTGCATGTAATTAGTGACATTTTTGCATATTGGATGTACAGGGGTCGCAAAATTGTGTTAGTCCTCTATCTTAGACAAAAGTTACATACTTCAAGGATTCTCAATAAGACTTGTAATTGCTTGGTCCTATTTAGGTATCATGCCTTTCTGAGATAAGTTCGTAGTATAAATTGTGTTTATTTCTCATGAGTCCCGCGGTGGGACAGCGGTAGCTTTGTGGACTTACAATGCTATAATCCGGGGTTCGATTCCCCTCGGTGGATACAGCAGATAGCCCAATGTGGCTTTGTTCGAAAAACAAACAAATGATCTCCCTTGAATATATGTAATGTGAATGATCATTAACGCAGGTAATCTAGTATTTTGGGGTTACTGTGTAATATACGAATATACCAAGTGTTTCTAACTTCTTGTAGTGTTATAACATCTTATTCTGCATTTTTGCAGGTTTCACGTCACAAATGGTCAAGGAAACCTTAATGCGACCGTGTTTAAGATCCTGACATCAATGTCCTTCAATGATTGTTCAGGTTATATCTACAAGTTACTGCCACGCTATGTTTAAGGAGAATTACCAGTCTCATCGTAGTGAATGTCGTACAAGATAAAGTGAAGTTTCTTCAAAACTAATAAACCTTGAATTTTGTAGGTTGGTAGATGATCTTGACTTGAGAGAATATCCAGTAAAAACGGTCACCTGTATTTATAAGTACACATACAGTGTTTTTGTTTGGTACTAAATAAAAACAGTAAATTTTGATTTACACTTGTGTCCAGTCTCATTATTTTGTTTAACTTCGACTCAGTTAAGTAAGGATTTTAGTAGTACTCCGTAATTAAATATTCTAATTGAATCTCTAGTTGTTTAGCAGACCTCTATGATAGCTTGAACTTATATTCAGTCTTATCGGAATATAGCATAACTTGAATAGGTAGTAGAAAATTTTGGTTCAGTGACTGCAGGATATCATTATTGTGGAATTTGCAATATCTGCGAAAGTGTGTACTACCCTTTTCTTGAACTCTTGAGTTATTAATTTTAAAAAGGTCAGTGTTTGAGAAAACAGAAATTTCCACAACTTGAAGTACTTCTAAATATGAGGGATTATCGGTTGCCAAGAGAAAATTCGTCCAGGGAGTTGTCAGATAGAGAAGAAGTCCTCTCCTGGACATGGGACGTTTGTCAATACTGCAAAGATTCAGGACTTCTATCTTATTGCTACCACGGCCTTGGGAAGAACTATCAGAATAGGATGTACCCAGAAAGACTGATCGAGTTCTCTTCCTTACGATCGACTTTGGTGTGAAGGAAGCACGAGCTGAGGACCATCATGATGATTTGCCATCTGGTTAGACTAAGACCAAGTAGGCACAGTTTGTAGAGGACTCTCATACTTACGCTAGCCAGAATGTCTCAACCCAAGCTCTGTTTAAAACCACTTGGTATAAAGTGAGCCTGGAGACACTTTTGATAATACTATCTAAACAACTGGACCCATCTCATCAACAGATGAGAAGGTGGGGCTGAGCCACGAATGTGAGGGATGAGTTGGTGTATAAACACAATTCACAGAGAAGCTTGGAGTCAAGCGCAATGATGGATAAGCTACTTAGAGCACCTCATCATTTTGCCATCCTAGATCAAGGACCTACCACTCGCCAGAGCATTAGGGTCCAGAGAGCTCCTATCACACTGTTTCCCCAATGTTTAGAACATCTCAGCCAAGGAGTAAACGCTTATAACTCCTTTGCAGATTTCTCCCCTGATGTTTAAGAGTACAGTGCTTTAATAATTTCACACAGATCTCTGCCTGGAATGAACAGATTCAGGAACAAACAATGCAATACCTTATATTGAATCTGGATGATTCAGTGCTTGACTCACTCAAGGATTTGGATAACGAGAAAAAGCTTGGAGTACTTGTCTGGCTGTTCATGGCAAGTAAGATGAGGCATCCACCACTTCTGGCATCCTATTTGACATGTCAAGGATTAAACCCAATTAAAGCTAAACGACCAATTAGGTTAAGCACTTCATGATGGAAAGGAAGTAGTGATCCTTGTTTTCCAAGCTATTAAGTGATGTTCTCCACCAAGTGTACACAGTACATTGTATGATTTTCGCTTTATTATCATGAAGCCAAGATGAATTATGTCAATACATTACTGGTTTGTACAACTGGGGATGACAGTTAAGAGTTAAAAAACTCAGCTGAAAGGGTGCTGCAACCCATACTTTCTGAGTTATTAGATATTTTTGTAAGATATAGTGTATACACTAAATGTGTGATTACCATTCAATCAAATGATGTTAGGATAATCTGTTGATTGCAACATTACAACATTAACGGGGTTAAAATGGCCTTGCAACCCTAGTTTGTACAACTGGATATGACAGTTAAGAGTTCCAAAACTCAACTGAAAGAGTGCTACAACCCTTACTTTAGGAGATATTAGATAATTTTGTAAGATATAGCGTATACACTACAATGTGGGATTACCATTCAATCATCTGAAGTTAGGATAATCTGTTGATTGCAACATTACAACATTAACGGGACCAAAATGGCTTTGCGACCATTACTTTCCGAGATATCAAGCACAGTTTCACTATAAGAGATATTCCTAAGATATGAAATGACAGCTGCTCGACTAACACAATTTGTGAAGGCTGGTGTCAATAGATATAATGCCAAATTCAACAACAATTTGCAGAACTGATGATGATAGTTAGTAGTTCGAAAATACAGTTGAAAGGGCTTGAGAACACTTACTTTTCTAGTTACTAAGTAATTTGTAGAAATGTAGAGTTTTTCCAAATGCAGTGAGTGAGTTATGTCTCCTTGAGTGTAGATTTTTATAATTAATTCGGACTTACGAGACGTTTTAGGTGAAAAGTCAGCTAAAACGTTTCGGTAGTCTGTTAAAAGAGATTCATTTATTTGGTG